CAGTGAGACTCATACCGCCCCACAAACCAGACTTTCATTGCTCATGTCCTACAAGGAATGCAAACCAGCCCCCTAAGATAAGATGTCTACATTCAACAAACCTTACTCCAAATTCAGACACTTATCAGGCAATGAGAAATTTGACACTTTAACACAAAAGTTTGCCTCATACTAAACAGAAAGTATTGAAACCAAACTTACAGTATGAAGCTAGACACCGGTACTCCACATTTACAGAAACTCCCACAGCAAGATCTGTGCTTGTCCTACAGTATGTAGACATACCAACTACACATTTATATGCCTCAAAGACACATATCTCCATAATATATTTTGACTTTAAAAATATGTTTGGATCAATATAGCATCTAGATGACTACCAGAATGCATACACACTCTTGACCCATCCTCTGGGCAGCATTTCTAGTGTACATGCTCACTCCCAACACTACCCTATCAAAGTCCATAGTTATTCTTTACAGCCCCACAGTTGCCAGCTTTCAGGCCTTCTCCTATATCTAGACTCACTCGGAAGCTTCTAGGACTCAATCATGCATACAGACTAAGTCCATATTAGAGTGTGTGAACAATGTAGAATTTCACCAAGTTCAGACCTGAAAATGCAGAATTTTCTCACAGTCTCACATCATGCCACATCAATACATGACCTGAAATGTACGACATATGCATGGAAACAGTACAAAAGGATACTAATATACAAGAAATAAGGCACAGACATCATAATGGGCAAAAATATCATACCATAAAAACGCAATCATCAAACACCTAACAAAAAGGCCCACGATTCACGATACATTCAATTACATAATGACATTCCTCATAATAGACAGAATTGTGTCTTACTTTAGACTGAATTTACAAAACATAGCACAGACTCCATCACACCCCAGCCTTACATTTATTCATTTAGAACCCTAGCAAACTTCATACCACATTGAGTTAACCTATGTATTGCAGACTTGCCCCCATAATACACAGAACTGCAACAGACCAAAACCACTAGAAATGACATGTTATGTGCAGGAAGAACCCCACACTTGAGGTACTTCATCCCTATTGATTTTACATGGAGACATGTCTAAAATGCAAAACTTGGCTTCCTCCTACATAGCATCTTAAGAGTGATAGACTCCAACACCTGGATCTGCCCTGAAACATGAGGATATATTTTAGAGCCAATGACCATGACTTGCAATGAACTTGAGATCATCTAGAAAATTATAGTCATGAAAGCCATGGCACTATACAAAACACTTAGACCTCACACCGAATTCACAATACTCGTAATACAATGATAGAGCCAGCCTTCAGTCTATGGCATTACCTCAGAAGGCTGCCCTTTCCCCCTTTAATGCAGAACACAATTTCACAGTTCACACACATACCCCATTAGACATAGACCAGCAACACAAGAAATTCCCTCAGAGGGTCTCCAGCTCATTAAGTCTTCAAACCACCCTGTTCTTGTTCATAACATCTAGAGCCACATGTTTATCAGAATGACAGCACACAACATGACTATTTGTTACTCGAAAGTACAAAGAAACTGCCTTTTCAACAGGAAGATCTCTACAGCACCCAGTCTCACTTCACTGTATCAAACTTGCCCCATCATATCTAGCGGCCTTGTATTAGCACATAGAAATGCGCTGATCAGCCAAGAAATTAACCTAGCTCCACGGTTTTCTTAGATGGGTGCAATATACAGATAGCACGATGCAGACAAAAGCTATGCATCGGAAGACATAATCCACACCATTCATGTGACATCATACAGCAATTTGCCCCACTTTGACATACTCAGAGATTCATTTAATTAGACAAAACTCAGCATACCACACTGAAAAATCTAACAGTGTCTAGATCTTTATATAATGGTATTCACATACTTTGAGACACACACGCACAGAGGCATAATTGTGATAAAAAAAAAACTGCAGGAACATGCTCATGCCTACATATACAAAAAGTTCTGCTCATCATTAAAACATATGAATATGCATGTATACATAAATATGCACAAATCAAGACATTTGGGTATACATACAGAAATGCATAAGCACATATCTGTGACAGAGATGCATAAGCAGATTTCTACACACAAAGAAAACAAAAATGGATTCATGAAGAGATTTTTACATGCATAGTAATACATATATTTATGGAGTTGTATATACAGTTATATTGATCAAGGATTTACATATTGATAATCACATCTACAGAAACATTGAACTACACAGATAGACATACAGACAAAAGAATGCTCTCAAAATGCATGCATACAAGCATATTTATGTTTAAATTTTATAGCAACTTATTCAGACTAATAAGAGTGTGCTAAGATTCATGTATGTCCAGAAACGGATTCCCATAAACCCAGACATGTACAAAGAATCATAGTTGTACATCCTATATCTATATTTGGAGATGGCACCGAGGGTGTACAGAGATGTATATAGACAATCTCATAAACTTGCAGAAAGCAATGCACCAGTTTACAATCACAGTGTTCCATAAGCATATACCTATATAAACACAGATATACAGATACACTCAGAAGCAGATTTATCTATGAAGCCTATGTTCACAGACATAGAAATATGTGCAACCACATCAAGACTGTACAGCATGGCTTCAAAGATACATACTTGGGCACTTTTGTGCATAGTTATATGTATAATGCAGATATTGATGGACATTTATACCATAGACGCATGCACAAAACAAATTCACAGACCAAGATATACATTTTTATAAGCATCCACAATTCATATACATACTCTGTTCTCATATTTCATGTACCTACTTAGAGACATAAACATTGACATGTATATGCATTAATTTAGTCAGCATTACACAGATTCATTAATTTCTGATGGGGAAGCTCAGCCAATCACATTTGGCTAGGGTGTGGCCGCCTGGGGCCAGGGAAGAAAACCTGGGAATCCAGGTGCGCTCGGTGTTTTCCGGACACAGGTTGTGTGAGTTTCCCCGTTTACAATTACTAAATTATATCTGTTGTTTTGAGCTAGTCTGTTTATTTAAGCGTACCGGTCAAATACACTGACAAGTTTCCATGTAGACACATTAGTACTGACACACAACATGCTTACATAGACTTTCAGATATTCACATGGACATATAAGTACACAATGAAGATACATATGTAAATAAACACTGAAACATGCATATGAAACAAGTTGTTAGATACAAGTCAAGGGAATTAATGGCAAGAAAGTAAAAATACACTTATGCATACATGTCCTGTGTTTACACAAATGCAGACATGGAAGCTTATATAGGTAGTCAGCAAAAAATGTTTACACAGACACAAATACTACATTGAATGCATAGACTATACAGAAATAAATATAAGGAATACAGACACAGTTCTTCAGGCTTTTGTGCCCACTTGGATGGAGATGCATCAAGAATTTTTCAAATTTGTGCACACAGTACTCTATAAATGCACTTGTTTACATAGACATAATTGCAAATGCAGATAGGCACTTAGATGTCATATATTCTCACAAAATGGCTAGGTAGACCATATCTTAAACACAAAGAGATGTACATATATACTTAAATATAACAAAACACATAAAAATACATTCGCAAACATGTACAGACTTGCAGTTGCACACATGGACAGATAGTTCCTTACATGGTAATAAATCCATGTGTTGTTGCACATACTCATTAAAGTGTTCTACATATGGTCTCCTAAGCTTTTAATGACGTTCATCAAACAGACAAATACACACATAAATAAGCATATGCTAAAATGACATATGCTAAAATGCATGCCTTAGGACTTTATGCTACAAATAGAAACAGATCTACATACACAAAACACATGTGGATTTATATTGTGAATTAATAGATTTCTTCTTTCTTTCTTTCTTTCTTTCTTTCTTTCTTTCTTTCTTTCTTTCTTTCTTTCTTTCTTTCTTATTTTTTTTTTGACAAGGTTTCTCTGTAACTTTGGTGCCTGTCCTGGAACTAGCTCTTGTAGACCAGGCTGGCCTTGAAATCACAGATATCCTCCTGCCTCTGCCTCCTGAGTGCTGGGATTAAAGGCGTGCATCACCACCACCCAGCTGAAAACATAGATTTCTGACCACTTATAAATAGACATACAAACACTTTTAAATCTAACTTATTGGTTTTAATGTGTTTTTTTGCCATTGTTTTTAGTCTCTTTGAGAGAACAATAATTATCAACCCCTCTAAGTTGACTATACCATTAAATGTAGGTGGGAAAATTACCAAAAATATCTTTAGGACACATGATTGTGCACAAACACTTTCATAAGTACAGAGTCATAAATATAATTCACACAGAAGCATACAAATGTAAATATATGTAGGCAAATAAAGAAAATACATATATAGATAGACATACCTATCCATCATCAAAATGTCATACTTTAATACTTAAATGTTAGGTATTGAAATATAATACAAAATGGATTCTTCATCTTCATCCAAGTTCTGACACTTACTTGCTGAGTGATGTGTGGCCTTTTTTCCTGCCTTCCCAACCTGTAAGATAGGAGTATCCATAGCACTTTCCTTGCAGGATTCTTGGAGAATTTGTATAATGGAACACTTTGCATTGTGCTTAGAATATCATGCATTTAGTTGGCACTGCCATTATTTTTTTTTGTGTTAGATACAAACTGTTTAGCTGTATAGGATTAGATTTTTATATTGAATTTTCATTTTGTCATTTTATATTTGTAAATATGCCAATAAAGATTAGTTTATTAACAAAAAATAGACTACAATCATGAACAAGGTCATTCCTGAAATTCTCAGAGATGGTAAGAATTAGCTGCTGTCCTTGGCAAAGAGACTGCAGATTTGTTTCCTGGTATTGCTGCTATTGGTATATATATATATACAATTAAACCACATCGTTCCATGCCAGTGAATCTTCATTGTCCCATCTGTAAATATAATTTTCCTTTCTACAGGACCTGGGAAGATTGAGACAGCTCACGGTGCAAAATGGAGAAAGGGCTTCATGGCCGGTGTGCATTTGCCACCTAGTGACCAAAGTGAGTAAGTACAGTATTTGCGCATAACCACACTTTCCTAACTACTTAACACCCTGAAAACTGAAAAACTGTGCACATGAGTTAGCACACACTTTCCCGGTCAGGGAACCAAAGAGAGAGAGAGAGAGAGAGAGAGAGAGAGAGAGAGAGAGAGAGAGAGAGAGAGAGAGAGAGAGAGAGAGAGAGAGAGAGAGAGAAAGAAAGAAAAAAAAGAGTTAGCACACACTACATTTTAGTGGCTTCTTCTGTATCCTGAAATGCAAGTAGTAATCAAATAAAATTTCACCTTTCACAAAAGCCTAGCCCCATTTTCTTTCTTTTTGGGTTTTCCAAGACCATTCTTTAGCAGTGGTCTTCATACCTGCTAATAATGTGCCACCTAACAGCACTTTGAAAAAGCCACAGCTCCGAGGGTGACTATTATTTCTAATGCCCCGCTTTTCTTCTATTCCACTGGGAAAGAGCCAAATGTCTTGCATAGACTAGGAACCTGCCCTGACACTGAGCTACATCCCTAGCCCTTATTTCTCATTTTTACTAATGAGAACGCAGGTAGCTTTGTTCATGCAAATAATTAAAAATGAATAGAATTCATATTCATGTCACAAGTAAAACCACACGCAATGACCTGTTATAGGAACCTATTTTTTAGTCTGAAGTGGTGGTGTGCACTTGTAGTTAGTTGCAGTACTTAGAAGATAGAGGCAGGAGGATTTTAAGGTTTAGGCCAACATCGGCTTCAGGCCAATGCCAGCTATGTAGTAAGATCCTCTTTCAAAAAAGGATTTTAAGATGTGAATGTAGAAATAGAACAATTTGAGAAGAGTAAGGGATTCGATGGAAGCGAGGGAGGTGAGAGGATACTGGGTAAATATGATCAAAACACAATTTTACATTTATGCGTCCACGAAAGCTATTGTGTATAATGTATACTAATGAAAAACAGAAAACAGAACCAAAAATGATTGAACTAAAAATATTTTTTATGATTTTTAAAAAATAATAAGTAAAATTTTAATAGACAACTTGAGTACTATTTTTAATTTCATGAAAACAAAGGACCCCATGATTTATGAAAGGATGTGATGGAGCAATTAATGTTTTCAGTTTTTAGGAAGCTTATCAGAATAGCTTTATGAATACTTATCAAATGACTATTAGATTTATTATACTTTGATGTGGGGGGCACTCATTTTAGCCTACCACCCTTAGTAAAGATTGGGAAAATTGAAATACGTAGATCAGAATGTGTTCGTCAAACCAATGCTTTGAATAAACTGCTTTCAATTTGCTGCATACTTAAAATATAAAAATTTGAAACTACAGATATGAAGCAATAATTTCACAGAAAATATTCAATTATAATTTAATTGGGAAAAGCACAGTTCACATCAAGATAATCAGCCTAATCAGATTTACTTTTAAGAATATCAACCTTAATTTTTTTAATGAAAAAAGCATTAATCTATATTTTTGAGTGGTTATCAAAACCACAGAAAAATTAATTAAGGACTTCTTCCTGAATAGTAATGAGGCAAATATTAGATTAAAACATAGTGATTAATTTTATCCACTTGAATTAATAAATTATTTTAGTTCTGGTGTGTTGTTTTAAATTAATGTAATACATAGCTGACACTGTGTCATATGAGCCAACAAATCTGTTCGTATGGATAGCTTCCTCTGGCAAATACATATGCGTTTGCTTTTAAAACATTGATGCTGAGTTCATGGGAATTGTTGATTGTACATAGTGAACTTTATTGAACTAGAGAATTAAACTTTTTAACAATATGTTATTATATAAAAGGTTATATGTTGTTAAAAACTAAGTAGCACTTTTTATAATGTAATATAGATAATTTTTATATTATGAGACAATTTTAAGATGAAATAAAAGTTGATTTTCATTGGAAAAGATATTACACCATATACACAGAAAAGTTCTAGACTAATTTAATTGAAAAAAATAGTGTATTTTCTGAGCATAAATTTTGCCAGAATAAACATTTTTTTAGTGCTGGAGAGCATCCACTTACAGTTAAAAGAACTCACTAGTGATAGATACTGCTGCTCATTTGGTTTATTCTTTTTTATTGAAAGCAAATTAGTGGTTAATATTATTGATAGCTGGAAATATAATTCTTAATTTTAGCATTTTGGGGTGAAATTGTTCTAATGTGAGCCATTTGGGGGAGATAATAGAAATGAAGTTTAACATCTGAGAGTGGGTTCTCTCATACCATCCCCACTCATGAAGAATTCATGCATCAGGAATCAAGAGTGTCTCCCAGCAGGCTTAGTCTAGAGCATTGTCGTTACTGAAATAATTCGTTTACAAGACGAGCTAGTTACCATGGTTGAATTTCTAAAAATGCTTCTATGATTGATCTATGGAGTGGAATAGTTTTGTTTGCTTTATAAACACTTGTACTGATTAAGCCAACCTCAGTCAGTATAGGAGATATAAAAACATGTATTTACACTTAAAATATGTGATATTCTGCACGGTGATATTTTGCTCTGTTCAGCTAAATAAACACAATGAAAATTAATTTTGTTTTATTTTTAAACCTTTTCAAGTGTTGCGACATGAAAGTTTAAATTTAAACCTGGGATTCACATTATATGTATTATGTAATAGCACACACGTTGCTCTGGACCTTCTATCCTCTCAAAGCGTAAGGAAGGACAATTAGGGTCCTAGCCAGATGTTGTATATTGCTATTCTGATGTTATCAGTACCTTATTCTAGTATTTGTGATTCCTTCTTGGGGAATTTTCAATTGTAAGTAGGTAAAATTAAAACAAAACAAATCAGACCCCAACAGGATAACAAGTATTTGAAGAGTAATCTTTAGCGCCTAGAAAGTTTCCTAGTGTGGAAATGAGAAGGCCTCTCAGAGGTTGCACATGAAGTATCTCAAACTTGCCAACACCTAGAAGTGGCTGTTACGTTATGCTGAAGCTTTGAGTGTCTCGTTGTACATGGAATGTTTCCAGTGTAATAAAGATGTAATGTTAGGGATAAATCCATTTGTCGAAAATTCTCATGAAATGCTTCCTTATCCACAGATTTGAACTTTAAACCTGCTGAAGGAGCTTTATAATACTCACTTGGGGGCCTATCTTTAGGATAAGTCATAGTGTAACTGCAGCCATCATGATTTTGCATACACACACACACACATACACACACACACACAAACACACATACACACACACTAAGTGATAACTCCTAGTGTTCTATAACTTGACCCAGTGTCATCAGTGTAGAATACCATTAGTTTGCAGTTATATTCTGATTTCAGAGTTATATTCTGATTTCATAGGTATATTCTGATTTCATATGAATAGAAACATTAAAAATAACATCATTATCAGGGCAAATAGGGCTTTTGCAGTAGCATTCACTACAGAGGTAAAATAGCACCTCAACTGAAGCTGCTATATGCTATCAGAAAGATGATTTCCAGGTCATCTTGGCAGTACTTTATGTTTCTGATGGAGACAGTGACTGTTTACTTTATCTCACATTATACCTTCTACATTGCTGACCAAAGGGTTGATGGCTCCCTCTCTGCTCCTTAGCACCGTTAGGCTTGGAAAATTCATCTTTCTAAAACTTTATGTCAATAGGGAATTCTTGAACGCTTCTGTGGGGAGTAAGCTTGCATTCAGAAGGCTTTCTCAGTGGAACTGCGCTCTATGAAAGTCTGCTGGAAAAAAAAGTGTGTGCTATAATTTCAATTATTTAATAGGACTTATGAAAACGTTCTTTGTTGAATACTTAAAAGCCACCAATTACACCATATTTATTTTAGTATGTAGGGCACTTAGCTTGATTAATGTAAGGCATACTTGTGGGGTTCCTGTGAGAGGCAATGGTCTTAGTATTAAGGTAAGTTAATTTCCTGTTGCCTAAGTAAGGATAAGTATTTCAGTCATTTGAGATTTGCTCTTAGATTTGTGTATTCAATCTAATGTATCAAAAGACAGGAAAGGGAAAAAAAGTCTCTTTCCTGTACCTGATCAAATAGATACAGACGGCTTGTTTTTCTTTCTCTGTACCACTTGTTCATTTGTTGAAACATGAGCCTGTTTCAAATGCAAATTATTAAATGGATTATTCCCTCCCCCGCACCCAAACACATAGAAAATTTGATTCTGATGGCCTAGAAAGGGCCAAGTGGTATATACAGGAATTATCTGCCGTGGTAGTTGTGTTGAGAACTTTAGAATCTGTTTTTCTACTACATTCCCCTTATTCGTCACTTAGTGGGAGTGATCATGAAGCCTCCTTTCATGCCTCTCACATCACCACACTGTTAAGAGCGAATGTCACAAGCTGGCAAACAGATTAATTACAAATAATAGCATTTTGTTTGGTTTCTAGATTTTTTCTTTTTTTTATTGAAAAAAAGAAAAATTTCTGCCTCCTCCCAGCCTCCCATTTCCTTCCCCCTCCTCCCACTCCTCTCCCCCTCCCCCCACTCCTGTCCCCCTCCCTCTCCAACCCAAAGAGCAGTCAGGGTTCCCTGCCCTGTGGAAAGTCCAAGGTCCTCCCTCCTCCATCCAGGTCTAGGAAGGTGAACGTCCAAACTGGCTAGGCTCCCACAAAGCCAGAACATGAAGTAGGATCAAGACCCAGTGCCATTGTCCTTGGCTTCTCAGCAGCCTTCATTGTCCGCCATATTCAGAGAGTCCGGTTTTATCCCATGCTTTTTCAGTCACAGTCCAGCTGGCCTTGGTGAGCTCCCAATAGATCAGCCCCACTGTCTCCTTGGGCGGGTGCACCCCTTGTGGTCCCGACATCTTTGCTCATGTTCTCCCTCCTTCTGCTCCTCATTGAGACCTTGGGAGCTCAGGCCAGTGCTCCAGTGTGGGTCTCTGTCTCTATCTCCATCCATCGCCAGATGAAGGTTCTATGGTGATATGCAAGATATTCATCAGTATGGCTATAGGATAGGGTCATTTCAGGTTCTCTCTCCTCAGCTGTC